CTTTTTGCTAAATGACCAAAACACCCTGCACGCTCGAAGAGTCAAGACCTCCGTGTTGACCCAAATGCCCATGCTTAAAACCCAAGTAGGCGGCATCTTGGACTGTTTGGGCATACATCAAGTACCGGTCAACTGTCTATCCTATGTATGATACAGAGACGACACCTTCTTCTTTTAGCTTAGGTTAGTTAAATAAAAAAAGAAAGAACCAGACATACCACAGAAAAAAAAAACATACTGTACAACATTGACAGAAATAAGTACTATGAAAAAACCTGAAGTAAAGTTGTATTTTCATGTCCAAGATCGTTCGTGAAAAGATGACACAACTTTGTGTAAAGATTGCTCATGGGAATAGCATCAAGTGGAGCATTCTTGAACGTGTAACTGTGTTTAAGCAGTTTTTTCATTTCATCTGGGACAGGATTCTTGCTTGCTCTATAGGCAAGCCTGCAAGGTACCGGAGGCTAACTTACAGATCGTGCTCTCCACCACCGGAGGCCATCGAAGCCGGTGTAGAGACGTCATTGGAGGCTGCAAGTTGTCGTGGGTTTAGCAAGGATTCGGATTTAGTCTCTTTGAAGATTAGTTTGTTGGGTGATTGCCAAATTGGTAAAACAAGCTTTGTGGTATGCATATATGACCTTTTCTTTATCTTCTTTCTTTTTTTATATTGAGTCATGGGTTAGCATGACTGGCGCTGGGATTGATTTCTTATATTATTCCCTTCTTTTTTTTCTTCTTTTTTTTAATGAAGATAAAGTATGTGGGAGATGAGCAGGAGAAAAAATGCTTGGAGATGACAGGATTGAGTTTGATGGACAAAACATTATTTGTTCAAGGTGCAAGAATTTCATTTAGTATATGGGATGTAGCAGGTATTATATAACAGTTTAACTGAGTTTTTTTTTTTTGATAATTTAAGGCTTAAGAATGTTTAACTGGTTTTTTTTTTGATAATTTAAGGCTTAAGAATGGAATTTTGTTATTTAGCTTCTCTTTTCTTTTTTTTTGGATGTAGGTGATAGCAGTTCACTTGATCATGTCCCGATCGCATGTAAAGATGCAGTAGCAATATTGTTCATGTTTGATCTTACTAGCCGGTGTACTCTTAACAAGTTAGGAACTAATCCCTTTTCTTCAATGCAAAACTCTAGGCATTGCTAGACTTTTCTAAGCATATGATTTGATTTGTCATGGCCTTGCAGCGTGGTTGAATGGTACAATCAGGCGAGAAAATGGAATCAGGTACCGATTTAAAGTTCCTTTCTTTACCAACAATTGATTCTGTAACCTTTCTGAAATGATGGTCATCAAATGCCTCATCATAAACCAATAATTAACATTGAAGGGATGAGTAATCCTTCAGTAATGTGACCTTGATTAACCTTGATTAGTTAATCATCATGTATGCTGATGATGATTAAGTTTGTGCATGAGCCCAGAAAAGGAACATTGATGTCAATTGAATCACTGAACCATAAAGCTACTGTTAGTTCAAGGGATGGTCTGGAACAATCTATGATTTTACCAAAACCAATTAAAGAGGAGCCACAAAATTAATGATGATTTCAATGCAATGTTTCATTGTTCATGATCTTCTTAACAGTCTGTGTATGCTTTTTTGCTTTTATTTAATGGGGTCTGCATCACTAGATCGTACAGTGAGACTTTTTTTTATAGAGTGGAGCCCTGGTGTTAATAAGAGACCAAACTGTTTTAATGTGAATGCTTTTTGTATCTCAAAGTTTTCTGTGCTCTGTTTGCAGACAGCTATTCCTATACTAATAGGGACCAAATTTGATGATTTTGTCCAGCTGCCACCAAATTTGCAGTGGACAATAGTGACTCAGGTAATTTACTTGTAATCCTCAACTATTTGATTGGTTTGGTCAAATTCATGGAGCTCGTGTGGATCACACCTGAAAAAAAATAGAATTTCACAGGTTTCCGTGCACCATAAAATTCAAATTCTGGGGTATTTCTTTTACTTTTGAAGCTTGAAGGTTATTTATTAGAAAAGTCCTACTCCAAGAACTAGTACTTAATTTTCATGATTATGCTGCCAAAAACTTTAAATTCAAGTATCATGTCTGCAGCTTAAGCTTGTTCATGCAGATTCACTTCTCCCCTCACGTAGGACTTAATTTTCATGAACGAGACATCCCATTGATTAGACTGTGAATTTGAAGAGTGGTGTGGGGATGGCTCAGCGGTGTTTGTCTTCGTGGCTGGACCATGCTTTTGCAAAATTTTAAATTGTTTTTAGTTTCAAATTATTTTTGTGTGTATTTAGTGTTAAAATAAAAAAATATTATTTTAATGTATTTAAAAAAAAAAATTAACAAGCAATCTCAAATACACGATAGGATAAGAAGAAGACCTTTTGAGTCCTAATTAGTCAAGTTTTGGTAAAAAGAAATTCTGGAGAAATTGAAGAAACTGACATTTCTTTGTATTTCCGTGTTGAAAAAGGAGCACAAGGGGCCACATGTTTCCCCATTGATTGATGAATGTTAATTAAGACTGGAAAGAACTGTGGTTAAATGTGCTTTAGGCCTGTCAAATTGAATTCTCTACTGTGATGCATTACAGGCAAGGGCATATGCAAAGGCAATGAAGGCAACCCTTTTCTTTTCAAGTTCTAAACATAACATAAATGTGAACAAGATCTTCAAATTTATCATGGCTAAACTCTTTAACCTGCCATGGACAGTAGAGAGAAACTTGACAATTGGAGAACCTATAATTGACTTCTAAAGGTGGTCGCTTTCGCACTGATCCTCCTGTACATAGCCGAAAGAGGGAAAAAGATGTATACAAGAGATAAAAACTTCAAGCAGCTCAGCAGATGGATTCTGCAGACCCTTTTTTTTATATTGTATGGTTCTCCTTGTTCTTTCTTTTTTTCTTCTAACTCTACACTGGATTGGAGATAGCTGCTGTTACCTAGTGTATGGTAAAAATAATGTTTTTTTTTTCCTCATATATTCCTCCATGTTAGAGAAGGAATCAGTGCTGCTTAAACTAAAATAATCCAAGCTGGTCTCCTCAGGAATTCTAAACACACTGTCATGCTGCTGCATGCCATTTTTCAAATCTGAGTTCACGTTTTTTCGACAGAGGAATAAAGCCCATATCCAGGTATGGACAATCAAAAAGACAGGAGAATCCACATTTATTCCATTTCCAATTTAAACTATAACCATCAATGGTCAGCTCCTCCCCCATACCTACCCCAATGCCCTACAAAAATTCCTTGTTTCAGGGGAAAATATTATCTTAAGAATAGTTTTATATTCGTTCTAATGAGATAAAGTATATATAACAACTTAGTACATGTTTATTAAGCACAACTTGGATCAACTTAGCATAAAATCTGGGTATCCAGATTTAAAAAAAGAAAAAGTTAAATGGATTTAATTAGTTTAATGAAGTTATGGGTCAATCTAATTTTTTTTATCGGATCATATCCAATCAATTTCTTTATTTTTTGTGAAACCCCGCCCTATGTCTTGAGTTGATGGGGTTAAGGATGGACAAGTTTAATAGCAGTGTCCTAGTCATAATTAGATCATTGCCCCACGTTGTATTATGTGTTAGGTCAATTTTTTTAACATAAAAATATTAAAGTATTATTAACATGTTTTTTTAAATTATTAATTTTAAATATAATATATGCTGAATTTTTTAAAAAATATGTTAGATAATATTTTTTAAAAATATTAAAATGTAATATATTAGATTAGCTTGAATTAATTCACAAAAAATTAATTAAAAAATATTTAGTTTAAAAATAAAAAAATAAATCTAGATAATCTAGATTAATTTAGACAATTCTCAATTGAAGTTGTAAAACCAGATAAATTTATTAAAAAAATAGAAAAACATAAAAAAAATAGTTAGTAATGCAGTATTAGTGTTGTGACTATTAGCCCAACAGTAAAAGAAACTTGTTGTTTTTTTATGTATCATAGTTCAAATCTTATTATACATGTCTGTTATTTTTATGGTGCTTTATATATTTATTAAATTTATAAGATATTCAGTGGACCGTAAGATTAGCCATAATATATACATCTCTCATCAAAGTGCCTTACACCCACATAAATTAAAAAAAAATAGTTAAGCAACACCTTTTCTGGAAGGAAATCATTGCAATGTTATGTCTCTCTCCCTGCCTGCCTACTGCCATTTTCTAAACTAGTCGGCTAACCATGTTCATGCACAGAGATTGGTTTCTCAATTCTTGCATAAAAATATTTAAAATTTCAGGACAGAAATATTCACATGATCAGTTTTCTTATTGTTTTCTTCCTGCCACATGAAATTAAAATATAAGTATACTTGTTTTCTCCCCCTCGGGGCCAGTTTGTTGATCATAATCTGTTGAGTCCACCACACGGCATCTTTTTTCCTGCCCATATTCATATTCCTTCACTTCAACTAAACAACAGAAATCCCACCATCGCAACGAAAAAGACCTCCAAGGAAAGGAAGAAGCTCCCTCCTCCTCCTCCATTTATGGTCACCAAAGCCTTTCGTTTGTTAACATTAAGGAAAAAAGAAAGGGTTCGATAGACCTGAGCATTATTTTTTAAAATTATGAACTGGATGCAACGAAAAAGACCTCCATGGAAAGGAAGAAGCCCCCTCCTCCTCCTCCATGTATGGCCAACAAAGCTTTCGTTTGTTAACATTAAGGGCAAGAAAAGAAGGTTCAAGAGACCTGGGCATTATTTTTTAAAATTATGAACTGGATGGATAAAGACGAGGCTTAAAAAGAAGTCTAGACGTATCAACAAGGTTATCTAACATATAATCGAGATCGATCGGCTATAAATTAAAATTTTTTCTTAATAATTAAGAGTTTTCTCTGTAAAAAATCCATACTCAAGAACCTTCTTGAGTAATACATACGAAAACATCAACGCATAATTATTCAAAAGAATCCATAATGTATAAAAGTAGAGATGAAAACACAAGCCATCAATGCATAATTATTCAAAAGAATCCACAATGTATAAAAGTAGAGATGAAAACACAAGCTTCCATCATCTTCAGCACAAAGTTTAGTGAATCATCACCAAGTTGCTGGTATTATTTCAAAGCGGATACCAAAATAAAATGGTTGTTGGGAAGACTGGTTTATAGGACTGATATGCTTACATTCCGAGATGCCTTGTAGAATCCCAAGACTATCTGTGCTCTTCCCATGTAGAACTCCCTATTCTCGCCATTATCGCCATCTTCATTGGAGGCATAAAGATTAAGTTCCTCCATTGCACGGCCGAAGTGGAGCAAGTATCTCAGCACATATAGTTCATTCCTCGTGCCCTTAAATCCCTTCACATTCACCACCCTAAGAGTCCCAGAGACGCAAAATTCAACTTGAAAGTTCCTTGACCAAAGTTTCTCAGGGTCGAATGGATAGGGAGGTTCATAATCCTGAAACGAACATAGTTTAAAGACCAACGTTAATTCTTCAAGTTCAAGCTACTCGGAAAAAAAACATTGCTGCGCGGCAGAAAATGGTGGCCGGATTTCTGCAAGAGTACTTACTGGGAAAATTCTTGCAGGGCCAATGTCTATGGTAAGCGTCTCTAGACGAGGACAGCTCCTTAGCATGAACTTGATACCACAATATTCATTACTGTGCAGTGCTGTTTTCAAGATCAGATTGCGGACTTCAAGTGGAGCTTGCAAACCCAATGGCTCGTCTCCGCTAGGAATAATCTGTGAGTGACCATCAACATAAGAAAATGATGTTAGTCCCAAATAGGCGACAGTATTAAGCTTTAATTTACTGTAAAAAAGAAATTTCTGTGGAAACAAGATTTTCCCACTTCTCCTTTTATACAATCTAGTCAATTAGGTCAGAATCTATTATGATTTAAGGTTGAAGAAATTGTCTTCTAGGGAAAATTAGGACTTGTTTTAATGCCCTGGATAAAAACATTTAATTTACATTTATGAACGAAATCTTTTAGCTTCCTCACTAATAATATATGGATGAAAGGATGACATTGCATAAAATCACAAGTTTTGTAACTCAAATGTACTGTTAAGGATTAAATTGAGTGTTTTCAAAATCAAATCATAAATATAAGTTTTGCCCCTTTTTCAGTACAAAACATAAATCATAATTGTAAGACTAAGAGAGAAATTGAAGGAGAAGATGATCCATGTATGAAAACTAAAAAATTATGATAAATGGGATCGGTGCCTTTGAAAACTTCTGATTTTTTTCCAATATTTTGAAATGAGAGAAGAAAAGCAAAGCAAAATTGTATTGTATACTAGGAGAAATTAAAAAAAAATCTGGGGGTTTGAATATAATATTGACAAATTATTTTTTTTATAGTAATCAAAAATATTATAAATAAGACTTCCTTATTAAGAAGATGAGGGCTGCAAGATAAGAAAGATTGCAGGGAAATAAAAAAAAACATAAAAAAAGCAAGGAATTTATAGTCTGGACTAGTTAGTCCAATTTATTATACATTCAGAATTTTCACAAAAATTAAAGTCTGTGTAATTAAAATTTTTAACAAAGGACTTCAACTAAAAAACCAACCAATAAAAATGAGGTCAAAAATCACATTCTAATTTGAAGTTTTGAAGTCAAAAATCATATGATCATGCACTATTTAAATTAACTAGTATAATCCTTTACAAATTTTTCTTTTACTAAACTGAATCATTTTTAAAATTTATGATTTGGATCTATTACACTAAATCAACTAAAAAACCTATTCTAGAGAGACCATGATATCGGACAAAAATGAATGTTAATGGGTGGAACTTTGAACACTACAAAAAACCTAAGGAATCAATATTTTAAGTTTTCATTTTCTATTTTTTTATTTAGTTTTTTGAAAATGAAAACAAATAAATTGATTGTTTTGACTTTTTTGTAATTGAAAAAAGCTGGCAATTAAACCAACAATCATTGTCACAATTGTTTTAAAATCACTTTGTTTGGTTTGTAAAAACTTTGATGATGAACTCTTGATTTTTTATGTTTTTTGAATTTCTATTTTTATATTTAGTTTTCAGAAATGGAAAAAAGAAAAAAATAAACGATACCAAAAAATCCTTAAATTCTTAGAGTGAAAACATCGTCACCAAGGAGTTTAGGCAACAGCATATTTTGTCACATCTTATGATACTTGGCGACTTCATTACACATCCCTAACAACTTTAGAATTTGATCGCAACATATAAATGAAGCAGCAGATCGTATAGCAGAAGATTAAATCAGATATACCAGTTCTATCTATTTTTTTATCACACAAATTAATCTTATGAAATCAAGACTACAAAAAATGTAAGGCAAATTTGAGACAATATTTGCAGGAACTGGGAATTCTTACATAAAACTGACAAAATCTGTCTAAATGTGAGAGGCAACATAAAATTCACTAGGAAAATGGTTTTAATTAAGACATAATGCCAAAAAAAAAAATGTAAGGATCTATACCTGTAAGAAGACACTGCAGACAGTCAGAATTCGAGCAGCAAAAAGCTCTTGTAAGAGATCATAAAGTAAGGCACCAACTTCTTCAAATTCAGTCTGCATCCCAAAATCAAGTTCAGCCTCTACCATGTCACGTTGGTTCTCCAAGAGAAATTGACCCACTTTTCCTGAGTACTTGAAGAATTGAAATCTTGGTCCTTCAATTAATAACCATTCATGCCTAAAATCACATTTGTCAAGAACCAAATTTTGTAGCCTCAAACCTGGCTTGGATACCTCAAAATATTCCAAGTTCCAACACTTTTTCAGACGCAAAGTCTCTAGCAATGGACAACTCTCCAATATAACCAAAATAGATCCAATATTTATGTTAATCCACCCCAGAGAAAGGCTCTTTATTGCACTAAAGTTAGTGAACTTAGATGCATCAAACCTGCACGAAAACAACTTCAAGGATTCAAGAGCCTGGCCATGTTCATAAACATGTGAAGGCAATTCAAATACTGCTTCATGATTCATAATTGCGTCTTCTCTCCATGTAGGATCAGAGAAATCTAGTCTTAATCCTGTCGCGTTATGCGAGGTGGCAAACTTGACAATGTTTTGCATATCGACAAGAAAATTCCCTGGCTTTGAACATCTGAGTCCAAGTGTTTTGATAACCTGTTGTGAATGGTTTGCAATAAACTGCCGTGCAAAGTTGATGAAAACTTCTCTTTGAACTTTTTGATTCTTCTCAGATTCATCAAGTTTAACAAAGTTGTTTTCATCGAAATCAACGTTCTCCACTTCGCGCCAAATATTAAGCCATTTTTTGGACAAGATGCATGTTCTAGCAGCTTCTTTGAATGACAGGAAACTTGCAATGATTATGAGTAGAGAACTTGGCAGGTTTGAGAACATGTCTGTGTTTCTGTCCATGATTATGAAGGGGTTTGTCTGAGAATCTGAAGAGACAGTTGCAGAGGTTTTTTATAGCGAAGAAATGAAGTTATTTTGCACAGTGACCTTTTGTTTCCCGTGAAAGGTTGTGTCTGTCTGTTCAGAAAATTGAAACACAGGCAGGGAAAACAGCCCTTGACTGGAAAATTAAGCAAGGAAGATGGGATTGCAAGACATAGGACTGGGAAAATGAGAAGAACATTCAACCAAGAATGAGCTCCTTAATTTGTTGCATCAAGAAAGAAAAAGAACTTGTATATATTATGGATCTGATTCTCAAAAAAACAAAAAACTATTGGACCTTTATTTTCGAGTGATTCAATTTGATTCATAATTGGTAACACTCAAAAATCACTAAACAAAAAATTCAATATATTACCAAATAAGAAAAAAAAAAATCTCATCGGCACAAGTTGGTAAGCCAAAACTGAAAGTCTCATCGGCGCCTCATCGGCACAAGTTGGTAAGCCAAAACTGGTGTAGAAAAAGACCAAAGAACATTTATGAGTTACACATGGTTACTTACCAAATTTATCATCACCTTGCTGTAAATATTTTTTATTACCACAAGAAAAAAATCATTTGTTCCTTCATCGGCACGTTAATCTTTTTCTTGCCTACAAGAAAATAAAAATCATTTGTTGCTTCATCGGCACGTTAATCTTTTTCTTGCCTCATCGGTGTTGTAATAGCTAGTGTTTGGCTGCACTTGCACTATTGTACTCGCCCCTATGTTAAGAAGACTTAAATTACGTGCTCGTCACTTTCTTCATAAGAATAACTCTATACATTCGGAATTCTGAATTAAGTTGGATTAGAGAGCATAATTTGAGTTAACATAACTTTCTTTTGTTAAGAAACTAATTCTGTAACACAGAACTTGGATCATTAAAGCATTTGGAAGAGAGAATAGAAGAGGAAAGATTATTGCATACCGAAGTTCGTAAAGGCAAATGATATTACATGCAGCACTTCAATGTAACAGTTCATTAAATGATGTTTCTGGCTCTTTATTACTTCACCGTTGATTAGGCACAGTTGTGGTTACACATCGTTTTATAAAATTTTAATTTTAATTTTTAAAATTAATATTTTTTATATTTTTAAATTACTTTGATATACTAATATTAAAAATAATTTTTAAAAAATAAAAAATATTATTTTAATACATTTCTAGAAGTAAAAATACTTAAAAAACAACCATTACCATATCCTCAACCTCAGTCTAAACCTTGGTCCATTTTCTTTCCATTACTTTTATATTGGACAAACAAATAAACCAAGATAACAAATAACCATACCATCAATGTGATTAGTCAAGAAAGGATCAAATACAACGGCCAGTTATGCAGTACACATGACTGGAATGGCCACAAACCTCAATCGGCAAAAAAACTACCATAATAAGACCTCCTGAGCCTAGGCAAGAGCGAACCAACTGAGTTCTCACATTTGACACAAGACCACTCCGATCCCCAGATGAAGCAAAATAAGCACTACTACAAGGTCTCATACATATCAGAATATGGATTTGATGGATAAACAAAATGTTCTTGATTCTCCAGAATGCTGATGTCAGAAAATCATACTGGAGAAGCCACATAATGAACATCATTCAGATGAGTTCTCGTGCAGCAGTACATATTCTCGGCTGAAACAAAAACAGGACATGTAAATTATTTACAATGAGCAGAGCATAACCAGCTTGGGAAAACTCATTCAGAGTTCTACAAACATTCATGTCAATGTGAAGCATTTCATACTGGTCAAGAATAGAACAGATTTTTCGAAATGTCAACTTTCCACTGGAATTAATCTCTATACAAAATAGTGTTTCACACATCAAAATGCAACTTACTAATACATAATTAGCTTCCGACTTTCGTTTTGCAAAGCAGGAAACAAATAGGCTGTGACTACTACTAAATTGCACAAAGCAGGAAACAAATAGGCCGTGACTACTACTAAATTGCACAACATTCAGATTCAAAGTTTGCCTTCTAACAAAAAAGAGAGTTTTGTTATGTATAAATGGTAAGGCAAAAAATTATGAGATCTATAAGCTCCATCTATAAGCAGGAAAAAAAAAGAAATTATACTCTTATATAGGAGAAAAATGGCCAAGATAAAATAGAATAGATTGAAGCTATATCAAATATATAAGCATCAAGGGATAAAAAAATCACAGCTTCAACTTTTAGAATCAGAGACAATGGTATGCCACTCCACTTCCCAATAGCTTTTGAAGAACATGGAAAAGCAGACCCAAATGCCCAAAGAGATGAACACAATCAAATCACAGACAAAGCATATATTGTATGAATACCAAAGAAAAAGAACCTACTTCAGCCAGTATAATAACAGCGGAGAGGCAAAGAAAGTTTAGCATGATTCATACAATAAAAAATAGAAATTGCATTTTGATTGGAGGCCTACCTACTATTACCAAATTTTATTGTGTCCTTTTCAAATAGTTCATAATAACGCTGAGGTTCAATGGGATTATCCTGCAAGTGCAGAAGAAATTTTAGATTTAATCACAGCAATAAATAAGAGAAAAGCTCAGTATATGCTAACTTGATATTAAGAGAGATTGCTCACATTAATGAAAGTTTTATTTGTACTTCCAAGGTCCATTACGTAAGGCCTGTCCATGGCATATGGAAAATAAAAAGTTACTATGAGATGTGATAAATTGCCATTCATCAATGAAAATAGTCATGACACAGCTGATTCTTACCTTACTTGCTTTTTTAACATGCCATCAGGCTGCTCCTTTTCTACTTGCCTAACAACCAGAAACATGAAATCATAAAAATGTCCTGAAACAGCAAAGAAGAAAAATTAAACTGCTAATTTTAGATCTACCGGAATTGAATAACAGCATGTTGCTTGCTGCATGATGGATGGTCTGTAGGAATATCTGCCACCCTCCTTTCTCTCCCAAAAAGGTAACAGCTCTGACGATGTATATAAAGGGGTTCTGTTCACCAATACAATTGTTAGAAACATAAACATCAGCCAAAGGGTGAGTTAACAGGTTTCTTCCATAATCAGAAATTCCATCCTGAACAAGGACTGACCATAAGAGAAAAAAATCCACATGCAATATCAACACACCAAGTACAGAAAAGCTCTGGTAAAAACAGAAGGAAATTAACTGACTATTGACTCCTTTCAGATAAGGGCTAAAGGCTGTGCACTCTTTTCAGAGGAAAAAAAATTATTTTGTTTAGATTGGAAAATTAAATTGTTCAACGTTTATACACTCTTGTTTTTGGGAGCATTAAAGTATTTTAAAGAGCTCTTCAAGGACAACTAGCAGGGGGCAGAACTTGAGTTTTTGGAATGGGGAAGGGGCACAATATGAAAGCAATCAGGGTAGACTTGAAAATTAAATAACAAAGAAAAATCCATATTAATAATACATAATTGTTTGGGGGTGCAAAACATGTATTCCTATTAAATAAGCCTTAAATGGAGGGGTAGACTAAAAATCTTCAAATTTGAAGGACTAAAATTTAAAATTTCTAAGACTTCGGTGGCACCCTCATAATAAAGTACAGTTCTGTCCTTGAGAAGCAGGGAAAGAAATTGTCAGGAAAACAAAAGAAGTCATGTAAGTTCTTCACAAGACTACAAAAAATAATTGAATTTTCCCCTTAAGAAGTGAAAGCTTCAAGACCTAACCAAAAGGTCCACTTCTGACCTGTATCCTGGCATCTTACATATGTATTGAAATGTAACCCTGAATTCTACTAAGATTTTGCAGCTACTATATACAAATTTGTTTCGACTATACAGTCAGATAACCCAGCATCAAAGCAAGCCAGACACATTTTAATTTGATGACAGTAAAATTGCATGATTTGAGAAGGCAATGGATGATGTCTGATTCATGGATTTCCATGTCTCCCAGAAACATATACATATACAACATGCATATGCAGGACTTACCATTCAGAGCCTCACCGCCCTTAAAAACATAAAGTCGCCATCTTATATTGGGTTTCTTAGCATCTGGGGGCTCGGTGAACAGCAATGTAACACCTAGAAAATGAAAAAACCAATTAGCATAAGTGAATATGAAAAAGGAAACTACACACAGCATGTGTTGGTAAAGCTTTTTCGCATCAGGCATGAACCAATGAAAGAAAGAAAACAAAAACAGAACATGTTTTGGCTCAATTTGTAAAACTGCTTACGGAGATCAAATCCACCATCAATCAAGAAGCCTCAAGTGCCCGTGCCTAATTCTTCCTCTCATATGGATGTAATTTCAAAAGGTATAGCCTATATGTCACTTCAGGGAATCTACTGTTTTCTTTCTTGCCTCCCAAATGCTGTTAAACTTCCCCAATTATTTTTCAAATGACAAAATAACTGAGTAACTCTACATGGGTTCAACTAAACTGACCAGAAAAATGATGCGTTTATGTCAAAATATGTAAAGCAATTGCACGACAAAAAGACCCCTATATCTAAACCAACTAACCAAAGATGCCAACTTTTAGCTTGCCACCAGATTTGTATAAAAGAGGAGAGAGAGAGGTTCAGCAGAATTATTAGTGATAAGGGAAAAAAAAAAAGAAAGGAAATTCTCTTCAGTGAAACTAAAAGCAATGTACATATCACCCACCTCTAACTCTATTGGTTTCGGCAGCAAGCTTTCCAGATAGCTCAAAAGAAGGTTCTTGCTGCAATTTGTAAAGATAATGATCAATACTAAGGTCATTAGCCAGACAAAAGGAAGATGTATTTCTTAGCCAAACAAAAGTATGTTTACAAACTAAATAAAGAGCATTAAGCATGGGGAAGTAAAGCAAACACACAAGCTGTTCCTACCTTCTTCTTGACTTCCAAAGCCTCCTCAGCAGCCTTCATCTTAGCCACAGAATCATCATAATTGTCATCATCGCTATTCCTGCCCAAGCAAATTTAAGTAGGAAAATTTATTATTATTATTATTATTGAGGTGTTTCTAAATAGCATTTCCATGGCAGAGGCACATTACCAATGTTCCAGTCCAAACATGAGAAAAAGAAAAGCTTAAGAAGCAGCCTACCTTTGTTCACCTCCCCTTGAGTTTGTCTCCTGAAATGATTAGTTTTTTCAATTAGCGTTTGTTAGAGAATCTTTTCAAGAAAAGCAATTCCAAAGATTCATCAAGTTTGAAATCTTAAAAGATATACACAATCCACAAGGCACTTTCTGTTCAAGGAAAAGTAGACTTCCGGCCAAAATGATTTGGGGCCTTAATTTTCTAGCAAAACATTCCATAGGTTTCCATTGGGATTCTTTATACTCTTGCAACTTCTAGGGTTGGGATTTTGTTAATTATAATGTTTCTGGCTAGTGGCTACTTGTTTGGTTTTTGCTATGGATTAGCATTACAGTGTGAAAGCAGTTAGGGAAAGGGGCAAAAGAGGAGATTTATGGTTATAATGAGAGATTAAGGGGTTTGGTGGGGTTTCTGGATGAGATTTATGTTAAAGTTAATGATTTGAAATTCATATGCAAAGTGCAACCAGTAAGTTAACAATGGGAATTGAATGGCATTGTTTGTAAAGGTTATCAGCTTTTAATACTACCAAGTTTCCAACAACTTCATGAAAACATATACAAACCTTTGAATCAAACAATAAAAATTACACAAAAGGGAAAAACGAATTTATCAAAATTCAAATACACAAATTACATTTAGTTTGTAATTTTATCGAATTGCAAACAGAAAAACAACACAAATTAGCCTACATTCATCAGCAACATTGTGAAGCAGACAATTTTTAACCACAAACAACACGATAATAAGATAATTTAATAAGAAGAAGGAAAAAAAAGATGTTTAGACCAAAGTGTTGTTAGGGGTGAATATCACCAGACACCTCATTGCGGTCTCTCTCTGTTTGAGGCAGCGGCGATCGAGACCCATGCTTGCTCCTGTTGCGACGGCCTGATTCCAATGGTGAAGTAGACCGCCCCCTATGTCTTCCTCTAGAAGAAGACTTTCCTTCAATCTCATCCCTCCCTGACCTTCTGTCCTTCCCTATTTCCCTCTCTCCTCTTTCTCTACGATTCCTCTCAGCTTCTCCCTCCCTTTGCAAACCCCTATCGCCTCCCTTTCCAAGACTCCTTTCATAATCTTCTCCCTCACCCTCTCTTTCCCTTCGTGTGCCACCCTTCTCGCTTCCCTTTTTGTCGTGATTCCTGTCAACCTCTCTATCTCTCATTTTTGCACCCTCTTTCTCATCTTGGGATCTCCTTAATCTTTTCGTTCTTGGCGAAGGAGACCTCCCGCGATTTGAACTTCTCTCTTTTTCAACTGGGGAGCGGTCCCTTTGCGAGCTCCTGTGTCTTGCTGGAGGAGATTGAGGAGGAGACATCTCCCGCTTCTTGGGAGATTTATTATTATTATTACTGCGGCTAGAGCGTTGCTGTTGTTGTTGTTGTTTCTCTTTCACTGGGGAAGCATCTCTATCTCTATCTCTATCTCTATCTCTATGAGAGCTTCTATGTCGATCCCTGTGTGGAGATTGGGATAAATTGCGCCCCATTGCCACTGATTTTTCAATTCCAATGGACACTGATGATAGTAATAATAATATAAACCTCACTTAAACCCTAAGATTTTGAGGGAAGAAAACAAAAGCAAGAACTTGGCGAACACTTTGACAGCTAATAGTCGCCTGTAACGTCCAGAGAAAGTGAAGATAGGGTTTTCCTTTTCTGATTATTTCTTTCCCCACATGCCCGGTTCGGTCAATGTTATAAAATCCGGACCGGTCTGATCAGTTAACCCAGTAATCAGTTGGGTTTCATTTTAAACCAGATTTTATATAAAAACTGCATTATTTTATTTTAAAAAAATAAAACAATATTATTTTAATAAAAAATTTGAATTAATCAACTAATCCATAAATTAATCCATGATTTGCTTTGAGTTGGCCCAAACCGTGAGAACCGTCTTGTAACCATGGGTGTGGTCTTAAGAAAAGGAAAGCTTAAAATATATTCTCTGACTAATGGGTAAAATTTTTACATTCAAACTATTTTTATTTTAATTATACCTGTAAATTGTTTTGATTTTTAATTAGAATTCTCGTTAAAATCACTTAATAAAAAAAAAGGTTAAGCTTTTCATAAAATGAGCTACTTTCTTTTAATTATTTACTCATGTTATTTTGGGAATTAGGTTAAATTTTATTTCAACGTATAAAAAAAATATAAATATTATTAATATATTTTCTAATAAAAAAATAAGTTGTGTAGAATTAATATATTGATTTTTTTATAAATTCAAAAATAACATGAATAATTAATAAAATTATAATTTAATTTTAAAAAAATTAAAAAATAATATTTTAATAACATATTAAAATAATAATATACTAAATTGACTTTAATCAGACTGTAATATATATTTAAATATGCAACTTGAATTATAAAATCAAGATATTCGTATAAAAAATAAATTAAATTAAATTATAAACTATAATTATTTATTAACCCAATATTAAATGATAAAATTTTAAAAAATTTAATCAAAAGCAAAATAAAAGACCTAAGTCAACTTAAGTTAACCAGCCAAACCTATAATATAAGTAATTAAACTGAAATAACATCATAGATAATAAATTAAAATAAATTATAAAGTTTAATTTTTAATCAACTCAAGGTTGATGGATGAAATTAAAAAATAAAAAAACTAATTAAAGTTTTTTCAAAAATAATCTAGATCAATCAGGTTAACTCACCAAATTTGCGACCTGCATTATAAAATTAAATAACCTTATATAAAAAAATTAAAATAAATAATAAATCATAATTCTCAATCAATTGTTGATAAATAAAATTGAATAAAAAAAGAACAACAAAACCAATCTAGTTGGTTTAATCCATCAAACTCAAGACTCGGGTCATAATAATAAAATAATCTTATAAAAAATTAAAATAAATTATAAATTTTAATTTTCAATAAGAATTGTTAAATAATGAAATTTAATTGTTAAATAATAAAATGAATAAAAAAAATAATATGTAAAGGTTTCCCTCCTTTAATTAGTTCTTGTTGATAAACGTACAATTTGAAATTAAAATACAAATGAAAGGCTTGAAGCTTTTAATTGAAAATTTATAAAAAATTAAGAATAAATTAATACTAAATAATGTTTGGTGGCAAAGGAGAAACTAAACTATTTAATTATTTAAAACATTTAAAAGAATTGGACTATTTGAAGGCACTCCACTGTCAAGCAATAAAGCAGTTGTTTCTTTTTGCTTTCATTTTCAATTTATTGTTTCATTCGTTTACATTCTTCAATGGCATAATTAGATGGAATTCGTATTGTCATTATGGTATAATAACTAAATACAAAAAATACTAAAATGTAAAATATGGAAAATAATAAATTTATTTTATCATATTTATTTTATTTGTTTTTTAGCCTCTAAATAAGAGATAAACTCGCAAAAAAATTAGTGGAGGGAGAAAATAATTAATTCTTGTGATTTTAGCTGAAAAACAATTAAATTTGGTGTCTAAATATTTTAAAATTTGATATGTTAAAGAATAATATAAATTATATTTTAAAATCTTATCTAATAGTTTAAGTTATTGGGTTGAGATAATTCTTTGATATGGTATCAAAACTTTCATAACTAAATGATTATGAATTTGAATCTCATTATTTTTATTTATTTGATAAAATTTAAATACAAAGTAATATATATCTGTATAAATTTTAAAACCTGAAAAGAGCTTTCAATTAAGAGATTGTATTAAAAAATAATATAAATTATATCACGAGATCTTATCTAATAATTTAAACTATTATTTATTATTAATATTAAAATTATTCAAAAAAATAAATTGAGACTTGGAAATATTTGTGCTCTCGAATTGATTTTATATTTTTTTGACTGATTTTGGTAATTTCAAGAACATATCTAGATTTGTTGAGTTATATATTTTACGTTTTTATATGTTTGCAAGTAAAGCATGTTATTTGGTTCAAAAAAATAAAATGCGAGTTTTGGGCTACTTAGACTATTGGAATCTAGAAAAACAGATAACATATTATCTCCCTTAATAAATGACACATTGTCCAATTTATGTTTTTTCAATCACAAGAATATGAGATAAATGACATGTTAATAATAATAATAAAAAAAAAAAGTAGCTTAGGTGTGCACCCTTGGCCTCCAAGCCCTTGCGCAATTGCTACTATGGGGCTAAATGTTCAGCCTAACCCTTTTAAGTTGTTTTTTTGTTTATATATACTAAAAAGAAATTATGTTGATTTATTTATTTTTTAATTTTAATATGGTTTTTAAATAATATTATAAATTATATTTAAGTTTTTATTATTTTCTTAATTATTATATATCTAATATGAAAATAATAATACTAATAATTTGCTTGTGAATTTTTTTTTTTTAAATTTTTAACTTGATTTTTTATATGATTTTAATATATTTATCATCGTTTTAGCTTCCAATCACATATATGGACATAATATATTTTTTTCAACATACTTAATAATCATAAAATATTTTCTTAACTGAATAGTTACTGAGGGGAAAAAGCTATTTTCCATTAAAAAAACATAATAAAATCACCTGTAAATGCATTTTTTTTATTTTTGTGATTTTTATATTCTAAACTTCAATTATAACACTAAATAGAAATATAAAGATAGATTATTTTGGTTAATAAAAAATGTTATAAAGAAAAACTTGCAATTATTATGGTGAGAATAACAACATATTCACGGTAAATAAATCTAATGTTTGATAAAAAAGAAAAGAAAAGAAAAGAAAAGTTTGGATTTTAAATTGAAGAAAAACATAAATATTAATCCCTTAACACTTTCCATGGATATTAAACAAATATTTGAGAATAATATAGAGCATGGTTTTACGGTAATATTAAGACTAAAGGTCACATATTTTCTATGTAAATTATAAAGTAGTCCCTCTAGTTTTACAAAATGAATTAAATAGTCTTTTTAGTTTCAAAAACCATCATGCATAATTTAATATTATTTATTTCAAAACATTTATTCCCTTTTCATCAATAATTTTAATTTTACCTTTTCGATTTCTTGAAATAAAATGGAAAAGAAACAATACAAAATGGCTTAGTGATGTTTCAAGGACTTAATTGCATCTTGATGAAAAGAAGAAGGATTGAATTACATTAATGGGCTAGAAGCCCAAAACGGGTTTTCAATGGGAATCCAATCTGTGAGCAGAAAATGGCTATTGATAACGAACGCTGAAGTGTTTGTTTATTTTACATGGGCCATAATCCTGGGCTTTGGACCTGGGTTTCATGGATTCTGCTTAAGCTAGGCCTACCCTTTTCATTGCTGATTTATCTGCTTCAATGGGCTTTCATAGTTAATCCCAAGCTATCACTCCTACAAAGAAATAAGGAAGACTTAAATTTAGCAACAAACCAATTTATTCAATCTCAATTGCATGCCAAATCCATAAATTTAATCAATTAGGTCTCAAATGTTTTCTTTATTTCATGGATTCTGCTTAAGCTAGGCCTGCCTTTTTCATTGTCGACTCATCTGCTTCAATGGGCTTTCATCGTTAATCCCAGGCCATCACTCCTACAAAGAAATAAGGAAGACCTAAATTTAGTACCAAAACTATTTATTCAATCTCAATTGCATGCCAAATCTATAAATTTAATCAATTAGGTCTCAAATGTTTTCTCTATTTCTAAATCGTGTTATTTTAATAGTTTATGTCTAATGCATATATATTTATACACTAAAGTGTTTTTAACCCTAAAAACAATTCACAAAAATATTAATAAATATCAACTTTCGCGGTCTAATTTATAGGTATATCATGAGATTCAAAATAAAAAATACTTGATTGAGAATTTCGTGATAGAATTTATATAAAAGGATAAAAGGATGGCCTAATTGATAGAATTTATAAGTTAGGGATTCAATTAAGAATTAGTATGTAGGTTTGGGACTAAATGGGATGTAATTGTATAAAAGGACGGCACATGATATTCCAAATGTAATTTGCAACAAAAGAAAAGGAAGGAAAAATTTATGCACTAGAGTGTTTTTTACTCTAAAAACAATTCATAAAAATATTAATGAATATCAATGTTCGCAGTCTAATTGATAGGTATATCATGAGATTCAAAATAAAAAAGACTTGATTGAGAATTTTGTGATACATTCGCGGCCTAATTGATAGAATTTATAAGTTAGGGATTCAATTAAGAATTAGTATGTAGGTTTGGGACTAAATGGGATGTAATTGTATAAAAGGACGGCACATGATATTCCAAATGTAATTTGCAACAAAAGAAAAGGAAGGAAAAGTGGAGCTCATCTCCAAGTTGGATGGTGCCATTAGATGTTGTTTTCTTGTTTTATTGGCTGACTTATATATAATTTTTTTTATAAAACAATGGAATTTTCATTAAAAATAATGTTAAATATTACACAAAATATGATTAAAAAAAAAGGGTCTAGACTGTATAAACCCTAAAGCCTTGAAATGGGGACGACAAGCCATGTTAACTTCTTCCAACCACACTTCCCAAGCTCCTTGTCTTGCGAAAATGGAAATTTTCAATTGCTCATCCCAATGAGCAAATGCACTAGTGAAAAAGATCGAACCACGTTTAGCCTTAAATACCTAGCCACTTGGCCTTGAAATGGGCAACGGCGAGCCAAGT